GGACAGGCTGGGAGAGCTGGGGGGGCTCAGCCTGGAGCAGAGAAGCTCCGGGGAGACCTTCCTGCAGCTGCCAGGGCTGAGAGGGGGCTTGGAAGAAAGATGGGGACAGACTTTTAGCAGGGCCTGTTGCCATAGGACAAGGGGTGACGGTTTTAAACTGGAAGAGGGCAGATTTAGACTAGATGTCAGGAAGAGGTTTTTGACAATGAGGGTGGTGAAACCCTGGCCCAGGTTGCCCAGAGAGGTGGTCGATGCCCCATCCCTGGGAACATCCCAGGTCAGGTTGGACGGGGCTCTGAGCAACCTGCTCTAGTTGCAGGTGTCCCTGCTCATGGCAGGGGGGTTGGACTAGATGGCCTTGAAAGGTCCCTGTCAACCCCAAGATTCTGTGATTCTATGGTTCTATGGAAAGCTTAAACTGGGTGCCTGTGCTGGGTGCTATATGAATGACTTGGTGTCATTCAGTATCAAAATGCTTGTTTTAATGTTAGCTGAAATAGGACTGGACTCTGAAAAAGGGCTCAAAGCTGCCTTTTCTACACTATCTCTTCAAAATAAAACAGCCAGATTCTGTAAAAAGGAAATCTGCATAGAAATGCAATACCAATAAATACATCCAAGCAACTGCCTCTCTGTTACCATTAGTGCCTGCAGGGAAAGAAGAAGAGGTGCAGCATGTTAAGACACTGAAGAGTAAAATTACCTGTATATTATGCCCTTGGAATGGAGGAACTGGAGCCCGCATATGATTTCAGCAGCATAAAACCTGAGTGACAGAAGGCACAAGTTAGAACAGATGTTTCCAAACAGGCACTTTCAACTAGACCCAAAAAGAAGAAAATTTTGTCTCCACAGAAGCCAAAATTTCCTTAAGTTCTCAGAAGGCTTGGAGTGTCTCCAGAAGGCTTGGGGTAACTGGCTTTTACAGGTAACTGATGGATGATGTGAGATTCCCAAAAGCAGGCCACATGGCTAGCAGCCCCACTCCCACTGAAACCGCTTTGCGAAATGGTAGGGATTTGACCACACTGCATGGCTAGCCACCTTTTTTTTAAATGTGTAACTGACTCTGAGGACATGTCCTTCAGTGCCCAAGGATGTCTTCATGTCAGCTGTGGAGCAAAAAACCACTGCCCAGCTCCTACTGCCTACGCTTCCTCAAGATATGGTCCCTGTGGCGAAGGCGGCAGACTGGGTGGTATCCATGCCTCTCCCTCATTTACATATTTAAAGTTAATCGATGATTTACAGTGATGCACCAGACTGCAAACTGCAAATTATAGTTAATGCCTCGCACATCAAAAGAGCAGCTATAATTTGCCATGTTCAGTAGCTGCTGCACAAACACTGGAGTGGTCCCAGCAAGGGGACAGGCAGTCGGGCATCTGGGTTTGGGGACTACAAACTTGGCTTTTCAAACAGACCTCTTCGCTGCTCAGATTTTCGACTTGCTTTTGAAATTTTACCCAAGATGTGAACTAGTTAGCAGCTTGGTGGCCCTTCTCTGGAGTCTTTTCGAGTTTGAGAACTTTGTTCTCCAGACAGTGCTGTCTAAAGGACACCACCACATCCTGCTGCCAAGAGGCAGCATAAGGCTGAAGCACTGTTGCACGATGGAAGTGCTCGCCCCGAAGGGAGGGTAACCGCAGGATCGTATGCCCCTCCAGTGTTGTACAGCTCTGCTCCCTCAGTCTTCAATGCATTGCCCCTTAATTCTGAACATTCAAATGCTTTTGAAAAAATCAACAAATTAAACACTGATTTAAATGAGAGTTTGGGTATTTTTTAATTATTAAATGAAAATTAATTCCTATAGTGGTTTCAATATTGACTTTTAAAATACCTTTGGCTCACAGAAGGATTAAAAGCACCTTTCATCTATTCTAATTCTTCTATTTACTTTAATCAAAGTGAAATAAATTTTTAACTCCCTGTTGGTCTATTGATTTTTTATTTAAATTTACCTTTTGCCCTTTTGATAGGTTTTATCTTTTTCCCCCTTCCCCGAACCTTAAAGGGAAGAAGGAAAAATACCATTACTTCTAACAAACAACAGCTTCACCTCTGATCACTGGACCGGGAACCCCAGCTTAAGCAGGTCCTGCAGCTTGGCTACAGGCCACCCAGTGCTGTAAAGAACAAGATATTTGGCTCCACAGATGGCTGAAGCATCTGTGGGATTTCTTTGCTGGTGATAAATCTGGGGTGGAGGTTGAGTCCACAATGTCATTACCGGGGCGTCCAATTATGTCCTGAGCAAACACTCAATGAGTACAACAAAGAGCAACCCCAGGGCTGCTGTACTTCACAGTAGACACCTGTAGGTTGCTTTAAAATGACCCTCATCCATGGCCCAGGTAAATAAGGTCTTAGGCATGCTTGGGGCTGCTTATAGACACTGGAGGAACTTCCAGAGGTAAGATCTCAGGTGGATTGAATGGTCCCTTTGGATCCCCTCTCTGAGGGACCGCAGTCCTGGGAAAGGGACTGATCCAGCAAGCAGGGCAGCCTAAGGGACAGCTTCTATCCAGTTCAGGTCTCTGCTCTGAACAAGTATTTGTGGGACTATGCTGAGGTTAGCGCAAAATACGCGAGCCAGGTCACAGGCTGGAAGGAGGTCCCTGGTTTGCAGGCTAAAGGATAAGCCTGCAGGCAGATGCAATGTTGACGAGGGTGTAGCAGCATCTGTAACGCTTCCAGACAGAAATAGCTTCCCTGGTTGACCACGAATGCAAAGCAAGGTCACGTCTGACTGAAATCAACTGTGTGGATGGGCTCTAAAAAGCCTTCTGTGGGAGGAGAAAGAGGACAGGGAGAGGAAGTGACTTGCTCCGAGTCCATCATCGAGTCAGGGTGATGACCTGCAGGTCTGTTTTGTTCAGTTTGGAGAGAGCTAGGACAGAGAGTGATTTTGCTTCCAGCACAAGCATTATCCCCACTTTGCAGCTGGGTAAGGTGCAGAGAGGTCAAATGATTTGCCTAAGGTTTCCTCTATAGGAAAGTAGCAGAGCTGGGAATAAAATGAAGAACCCTGGTGTCTCCAGCTGCTGCCTTTGCTTTTGTCGTGTGTGTGACCTGCAAGCCAAAAAGTAATAATAACATCTTACGTTGCTCTGGGAAGGTCAAACTTATGACAGCTCTGGATATGGAACATGAGGTCTCCTCCATTGAGGTATTCCATCACAAAAAAGAGGTTTTCCTAGAGAATGAGACAAATGACAACAAGGGGTGGGGAAGGGTGAGATAACATTGAAAAAAACCCCCACCCAGAAAGCACTCAGAAAGAGGAAGGAAAAGATTACATTGAGGGTTTTGGAAAGAAAGCAGTTTCTTTTTCAAATTCCTCATTTCTCCTTTGTTCTCTAAGCCCATACTCACCCCCCCTGCTCTGATTTGTATAAATAGCATTAGCAAACATTGCAAATCCACTTAATAACCAGCTGGTGCCATTGATTTTTACCAGTAGACCTCAAGGCTCACTAGAAGGGAATGAGTGACTCTACAGTGCCTGTGTAAAAGAAGGACAGATGGACAAGCTTCCTGGGGGACTCACGGAAGAGGCAGAAGTAAATCCCAGGTCTCCTCTGGTCCCCAGCCCATGGCATTATCCATCCAGTGGAGTCATCTCAAGCTGGTGTTACCTGCATTCCT